ATATATATACCGCACCTTGAAACTTTACGACACAACCAACCCCGTCCCACTCTACAAGCTAGCATCGCAAACATACCAACAAACCAAATTGAACAGCAAACAAAATCACATCACACGTTAGACAAACATTAGTCAAACATGCCAAACCCCGATGCCAATCGCAATCGCATCCCATGCTCCCAGGAGAACGTTGCTCACAAATCTGAATACAATCGGAGGAATGTCGAGGGATGGGCGAAGCGGGAGAGAGAGAGAGAAAAAAGGGTAGAAATCAGCTTCAATTCACTGCTCCGCGAGCACAGAATGAACACAAAGGTCTAACGAGATATCTTCAGATTCATAAGCAAAATCACCATGTCATAAGGTGTCAGATGATCATCAATAAGAATGGGAACGAAAAGATCAACAGGTCAACCGAGAAAAACACAAACTCACATCGAGTCAATACGTGTACCAAACTGCCAATATAGGAGCGAGCCGCCACGAAAACGAACCTGAAATACAAACATCACTATTTTATAACAGTAAATACCACGCATTGTAAAAGACTAAAGGAAAACAAAACGTTCAATACAATGTGGAAGGATTGTAGCTTCGGATGCGAATGCGCTTCCTCGCGTGTTCTACAAGCTGCAAATGTGGACTGCAAACAACACTCCCAGCCCCGCGAACATACAATGAACAAAATACAACACACACANCATACGATACGATACGATAAGATACGATACGATACGATACAATACAATACAATACAATACAATACAATACAATACGAAACACCCAACAAGCCCCACACAAACACCCAAAACTGACTCACTTCATCAAACTCGTCACAATCGTCCGCTGCACGCACACCGGCACACCGATACAATGGAACATCCGTATCTGAAACGAACAACACACTGTCTTCAAACAGAAATCAGATGCGCAACATGTATCATTCCGACGGTCAAATGACACGCACAATGTCATCAGGAAGTAGAAAACCACACGGACAGCAACAATCAATTCTAGCTAGCTAATCCGGTCGCATACCCAATCGCACAACTAATGACAATTCAATCGGGACAAATACCAAACTCCCTTACTGGCACGGACACCGAACAAACGAAAAAAAACGCAACATAACGGGAAAACTCACCTCAACCGAAATTCGCGAGCAAGCCAAAATACACTGCGTCAGTCTAGAAAAGAGAATATTCGGAAGAAAACCACCTATCAGCAAATGCAACAAGCAAAAAAACTACCACGGTGAAAAACACAAACCATCAACTCAGACAAGAGTATAATCAACTGCACTCATAAGAGGTGTCAAAATTGTACATCATAATTCGCGAGAGGTAAACACATCGCACATAAACATAACATAAAAGGAGAAGAACAACAACGACAACTCACCATCACGAGCGCATTCCTCGCCAACTGTCCGAGACATCCCGTACGCGCGCAAACCATCATGCAAACGAGCTGCAACACATCGGCCAATCTCAACCAAGTCGGTCACGTTGGTCCCGTTAGACTCAATGGCTGGGGACCTCGGGATGATCGCATCCCATGATTACAGACACTGACTCACATGGATGAGTGTCGTAAACAGTGGCGTTCGTGCATCTTCTCAATTTCAACGCAACATTAATCCACCGAAATACCAGATTCTCNTCTCATCTTCAGCTATCCCTGTCCTTCTCCTAATCTTCATACAAATAGACAGCCAAAGAAAAGCAACCAAAACCGGTGCACGATAGTGCATGATTAATGGTAGGTTGTACAAACTAAAACTGCTAAGCACAACCATGCTGAGCCACCAACGCCGATCGACCGAACAACACAATTGAAATCCATTCATCTAACTCACCACGCACACCCACAATGAGAAACCTTCAATCTAACACTAACTCGCACACCTTCATCCCGTCACGTTCGCCAAATCACCGCATCACCTCCTCCTGTATATCCCAATCGTCTCGATGCACTGCACACTGAACAACGAACAAATAACCATCGCAAAATGCCACTGCCCCGCCAAACACTACACGCACTATAGAGATGTACCTGCACCAAGCAGTGACCACTAAAGGAACCACATGACACAGGCTTGTCAATATCACCCCAAAAACTTGCACACGCACAGTGAGTGAGCAATGGGTAGAGGGGTCAAAAGAGGAATCAACCGGCCTAACACAATCCACCGACCGCTCATTACGAGGAAAACTTACAACAGTCTACAGACAATCGAAACGCCAAATAACCCTACAGTTCAAC